AAGCATCATAAGAGTGGCACTTTAATGATCTCCTGTCTTTCTCATAGTTTTTGTCTGTAATCTGTTAGAGATTAGGGAAAGTGTTATTAATCAACGTATTCTTATTTAAATGGAAACTGTCTCTAGCCAAACATGATTTCAGAAAATCTTCCTGGGAGGTAAGGAGGCTGTCCACTTACTAACTTCTGAAGATCCAGAGACTATATAAGCCATAAATGCTGACCATAATATTTGAGGAGCACTCTTACTTGAAAGAATGCAATATGTCATGACCAGACATGGGAAGAAAGAGCCACATAAAGCAAGTCTGATATGGTAACCTCAACAGAGACAAAACTTTACCTCTGCTGGGAGCCAAGCACAATCGGATCCTTCAGGCCAAACCTGAGATAAACTAATTAGATACCCGAGACCTAAAACAGAGGTTAAAATTCTTTTTAATATCTCATGCTTGTTGTCTTCAACCCTTGAAGGATATTTAGTGTTTAGTTTCTCAAAGGAAGCTTCTAAAAACTTAAGAAATTGTAACTAGTTATCTTCCGGACTGACTTCTTGATAGAGTATTAAAAGGAAGTAAGACTACCTATTTATTTCCATATTCTTGTTAGTTACTTCTGAAATTATATATTCCTTAGAAGTTGTTAGAGATTAACATGCTATAGTTAGATGCCTAAGTAGCTGGCCATGGTCCAGTGATAAACTTCTAATTTATTTTAAAATGTGTGTTTGAGCTATACAGTTATGTATTCAATTTATTCATCTGCAACTTTATAATTCTCCCCAATCCTCTTGAATTATTGATTTATTCATTATGGTGGTGATATAATTTATGTTGTATTGCAAATACAAGCCATGCAATTTAGCTCTTGTATTTAGATTGTAAACTCCTCAGAGTAAGGGCTTTGTATAAAGCCGTGCAAGGCAGTGTTGCCTGAGGAACAATGGAGAGTAAAAAGCAAAATTAAAGTAACAATAATTGTTTCATTTACTTTGTCAGTAAATGCTTCTATGGTTTATCTGAACTCAGAACCCCCAGGACTACTATTTGCTAATAAGTGGCATGAACCTATTCTGAGTTTTCATTTTTGTAAACTGTTTTTATTTTGTTTAAAGTCTTAATTACCATAAATTAAGCTTAGTTACAGTGATCACTTGCTCTTATGGAACACTTCTGTCAGACAAACATACACCCACTAAAGTTTGTGAGTGTAGTGCCAACAAGATACTTAATTTAAGTTATACATTGTATTGCCACACATTTTTCAGTAATTATTTTTACCCAATACACTGGCAGTCATTATCAGACTGGAAGTTGCGGAAGCGGATTGAAGGAGCAACAGTAACTATTAAATAAAATTGCCTAGCTAGTGATCACTGTCCCATGTGATACAGATTGGAAACTGTCCCGTAGTTGGTCTAGTTAATGAGAGATATAATGAAAAGCACAGCGTTAACTTTCCAGGAATAATCTCGGAGTTTGAAACTTGGCAGCATCTTAAGGTATTATCTCATCAGAGAAAACACGTAAATAAAATCACTGAGATGATTTTTTTCTATTTGTTACATTAATTTTGCCAAAGCCTTGAGAATATATCTAAAATATACACTGTACTCTCCAAAATATCATTGAATTTTTTTGGGAATACAATGACCATTCTGTCACCCTGCTCTTTGAATGTCAACTTTTAGGCTTAATTCCTTGTGTCATGGAGCTCAGGTATGAAAACATTTCTTGCTTTATCATCTTTCAGAATTTTTCCCATGTTACAGGTTTTTAAAAGTCAGAACTATTTTTCTCATCCTTTCTTATCATTCAGAAAGGAATTATATATTTCAATTCTGTTTCCATTCCTCACTCAATTGGCAGATGTATTCTGGGTATTTTTCATCTTCCTTGGAAGCAACAGACACTTGAAACAAACTGGAGATGGGACAGCAAGTGGGATGGAACCTGCTGTCCCATCTGAACCATCTACAGTGGTTCTGAGAATCATCTTTCTAGATGCCTGCTTAAAGACTTTGGGATTAATATAGGTAGAAATGTAATGGCTTGTGGTACACAGGAATTTCCTTCCCCCCCCCCCCCCAGCTGCCTCTGTATCAGAGCTGGGGGGGGGGGTTGGCTCGGAGGAGTTGCTATATGCAGGGAGCTGGCTTCCACCTGCCTCCTTCACCTCCCATGTTGCTATTTCTCTCTCATAAATAAACACATATAAACATCTCTAGGTAGCACTTAGGACCCCCATCATGGAGCAGAGCCCTATTTTAATAGGCAGTGTACAAACATTTAAAAAAAATACAATCTCTATCTTGAAGAGCCTGCTCTACACGTACTTGTTTCAAGTACCTCGTACTGGGAGTCTTGCTTCAGTGTCTTCCTTAGTCTCTGCTAGGGATGTCAACGTGTAGTACACTACATGATTAACCAATAAGCCTTGGTTTATTGGTTTATCTTATCAGCGGCATACACTCTCTCCCCCTTTCTGCCTCTGTATCAGAGGCAGTGGTGGGAAGCAGGAGCTGGTGCCCGAGGGGGGCTGGCTTTAAGCAGGCTCCCCACAAACAATGGATCCACCTGTTCCCCGCACTGCTGCCTCTAATAGAGAGGCAGCAGCACTGAGGGTGAGGGGGGAGGCTGGAGCCAATGCACATGGGGAGCTGGCTCCACAAACCCACTTGCCCTCTTTCCCCTCCTCCCCCACTTTGCTGCCTCCTACAGAGGCAGTAACAGGGGGTAGACAGGCACTGGTGCTTGGGGGAGCTAATTTAAAAGCCTGTTCCCCCTAGCACCAGCTCCATGGTGCCTCCTGCTCCTCTCTACCCCCCCCCCCCCCCCCACTGCCTTTATCAGAAGCAGAAGCACGGCGGGAGGGAAGGCAGCCCAGACTCATCGAAGACAGAGGCTGATCTGCAACAGCCACCTGTAAAGAGAGACTGCTATTGGACAGTGTTCCCTCTAAGCTGTGCTGCAGAATAGCTTCACAGATGATTAATCATCCCTGCCAAGTCAGCTCCATGCACGGAGCCCTGAACCACTGACTAGGCAGGGCTGATTAATCACCTGTGAACCTGTGCTGCCACACAGTTTAGAGGGAACACTGCTGCTGGATCAACCTCCATCTGCAGCAGAACTATGGGAGGTGGAGCAGCTTTTATCTGCAGGTTGCTCAACCTCCTCCCCTTCCCGTAGACAGGGGTTACTGCCACGGACCAACCACTATCTGCATCTGGATTTTTAAGAATGTTTCATGGAATCCTGAATATTGCAAAAGACTTATATCGTATTGCTATCTTTGCAGCATTTTCTTTGTTTACCCAGAGCACTTGTTAATACAGATTTTTTGCATCCAATTTAGATATTCCCTTTTGCTTTTGTTAAGATTGTCTAGATGTCCAATGCTTGTAATACCCACTGAGCTTAGTTATTTCGTCAGCATAATAATTTCTGCAAGATAGTAGGAGTGCTTTGCTATTTAATGTAATCATTTTCTGCAGGAAAGGTTTAGGTAGAAAATAACAAATGTGTTTCTCACTCCCAGGGAATATAAAGTTTAAGAGAGAATCCTTAGACAACTTGAGATTTGAAAATGTATATGTGTGTGTCATCATTCTTTTAGTGTTCCCCTAGCCTATATCAATTTATAAGATGCCTTGAAAATCAAAACTGATAGCTACATTTTAGAGAAATTAATCTTTAAATTAACTGAATCTTTTATTACTTTAATACTGTAATGATGGTAGTATTGTGAGAGAACTACTTGTTTTCTGGTCCTATTTAAGGTGACAGTCTTCATAACTGTTTTGTTGACTTTCTGATCTAATGAATGGTAGTCATTGTCTTCAGAATTGAGTTACATACCTGTTCTTCTTAATAAAAATTAAATGTTCTTTAATGTGACTCCCCTTTACGATAATTATTTTGGTTTGGCAATTGGACTAAAACATTTTTTGTGCTTTTTAATCCCTCTGTTAAATTTTAAAAAAAAATAAAGATATCCAGGCTGATATCTTCACTCCTGTTCTGGCTCCTTTACACATGGTGAAAGGGGCTCTCAAAGTTTGTAAAGCGGCTCTCAAAGTCCTTGTTATGCTATAGAATCCTCTCTCCAAAGTGTAAGTGCCGTTTTCCAAGAATCTCCTCTCAAGCTGTGGCACAGGTTGATCTTATCTGTAGCTTCCTCCATTCTGCTGAATGGGCCATAGCACTGCCCAGAGGCTTCCAGCAGTGTATGGTATGGTCTTGTCACTGATATGTCCAATAGGGATATTAAATATTGGTTAATTGAATAGTCGAGTAACCCTGTGAATTCTTTTCGTTAGTCAGCTATTCTATAGTTCCCGGGGGTGGGGACGGCAGCCAGCGTGGTCTGGCCTCACTCCTGAGGAGCTCCCTGCCACTCCACACTACTGCCTCTGTATCAGCAGTGCAGGATGCCAGGTGAGAGCTGGTCCAGAGCTTGTGGACTGGCTGTGTCTCGCCCTGTGCTGCAGCCTCTGATAAAGAGGCAGCAGCATGGAGTGACAGCAACCCCTGTCTGGGGGCAGTCTAAGCTCCTGGACGTGGCGCGAGCTGAAACTGAGTTGCACTGCCTGCCCGCCCAGCTCCTAATACACTTTAAATGCAGAGCTGCAGCAGGAGTAGGTCTCAGACCTGTCGCAAGCTGGCCAGTCTGCTAAAAAATATACTGGCAAGTGGGGAGAGGGAAATGCGTGTAATCTATAGCATTAACTTATAAGCTTTTGCTTATTGGTTAATCGACTACACTATTACATTCCTAATGTCCAACACATGCTATTTTGTACTCCTACCTATACCTCTGAATTTTTCTTTTTTTTTGTGTGTAGATTCTGTAAAGCATTTGGAATGCAGTTTTTCAAGCATTTGAAATGCAGTTTGTGTGAAAGACCTTGCAAAACACCTTAGTATTGGACCTAACAAATATCAATGTTTTACATTAGTTTAAATTTTAATATGTATCATGTTTCCCTCTCTCTAAAAGGGAGTGCCGGGAGTTGGAAAAGAACAAGCTTTAAAGTTAATTGAGACTTTACAAGGTCAAAGTCTACTACAAAGGTAAATTTTAAGTTTGTCTTATCCTGAAATATTTCAATCTTCTAAACTGTCTTGGTGAAAGACAGTGTTATGATGCACTTTGAACCTGAGTCTACTTTACTCATGTTTTAATTTTAAAAGAAATAAAATATTACATTTCTTACATGATGATCAGCTGTCTAATCTAACAATGCACTAATAGACAGAATGTTACTGCATTAATTCCTAGTCTCTGTTTCTGCAAATAGTAACACATATCTACTCATTTGCAGGACCAGAGTCATCAGAAGAACCTGATCCCAAACCCCAAAAGTAATTGGAAAACTCTCATTGATTTTAGTGGGCTATGGATCAGGTCTTTGGATCCTAATGAGCTCTGGTATAAATATTGCTCTGTTACCACAATGATTCTCAAAGCTAGAAATCTCCTTGATCACTGTACATACTGAAAAGTACATTTACTGCAAACAAATTGTGTGATGGAAAACTGAATAGTTTTAAGAGGGTGAATTAGATGGTCTGATAGAATTTGCATGAATAACCTATAAAGCTGCATTACCTTAATCTTAATTTTAGGTTTGATCAATGGAAAGGACAGCTTCAATGTGGTAATACACCTGCTCTAAGTGTTAACAAGATGACTCATTGTTCTGTTTGTCATCATCCAGGTCAGTATGAAAATGGGTAGATTTTTGTTGGTTTTGACTTGCATTAAAAGTTGCTTTTTATACAGATTTCAAATTCTGAATTATCTTTCTTTAAAATATAGAAAAGGTCTCTCTTGAGAATTGGTAATGGAGTAAGGATTTATTTAAAAAAAAAACTGCAGTCCACTGTTTCAAGCTGGGCCCTGTTCGTATTGTGTGGAAGATGTTGTTATTGAATGGCTGTTACGTGATATAGGTCTAGCCTGGGTCTAATTAGAATTCATCACTAATTGCCAAAAGGGTGCCAACTGTGATGGCAGTATCAATAAAGAAGGCAAAGACTGAACTGACATTTACACTGTACTATGCACTCATTCATGCTTGTGGGCCCTCCATTGACAGGATTGAGATATATTAGCAGAGATTATTTGCACAGCTATTCTTCTTGTTTTGTCTGTTTTATTTAAAATAGCATTCAATATCACGGACCATCAATCTGTCACCTTCAATTCAAATCTAATGCTGCTTGCTGCCGGCTTTTTTTTTTTTTTTTTTTTTTGAGGGAACCGAGAGAAGTCATTCATTCAACGGGTTTGTCAGATTGTCTCACATGCATGATGTTTGTGGGTCTTTAGGGAAATAATTTTCCAGAATAACAGTTTGCAACATTTTTACTAACAAGAAAAATCTGGTTTTTATTGTAACTATTCCTCGATATTTCTAGTGTACTTAGTTTTGTATATAGCAACTTTTGGTGATATATCCATGTATGCTCAAATTCATGAAACACACTTGTGTAGTTTGGGAAACATGGTTCATCTCATTCTCTCCCTCTCCTTTTTCTATAGGTTCTTGTAAGGATCATAAGCTCAGTGGATGTAAACTGTGTGGAAGTGTTAAATACTGTGAATCTCATGACTACCAGTACTGCTGCCCTTGTGAATGGCATTGTTCAGAGCGAGAAAAACAGACAAATGCAGTAGAGGACAATATTAGAAAGTAGGAATGTCTTCAAAATGAACTATTCTTCATTGTTTTCAGGTGCAGGGTGAGCATGCAAGTCCTGCATCACGCACGTTTCTATCCTGTTCCTAATATATATGTTTTACTTGCAGAAAAGCTAGAGGTTGTGAGGGCTTTCCATTTTCTGAGGTAACTAAAAAGCCTAACAACGGTTCATTTTGAATTAGTAAATTGGATTTTCAGCCAACTTTCTTCTAACTGTCCTATTTTTTATTTCTTTAAAGGTTATCCAAGAATTTCTTGTAAACAAAAACAAACTGGTCAGGATACTGGAGTGCCAGAGGCCAAATTTATTGTCCTTTCAGGTACAAAATGATATATAGAAAATCCGGCTCTTTGCCATATTGCATTTGTTAGTATGGAACACCCCTAACATTATTAATGTTAATAATTAGTAACTTTTATCAGTTACAACAATAAAAAAAACTGGCAACAATATTAATATTAATGTTTGATTGGAATTCTGAAATTATGTCCTGAGAATAGATTAGTAAATGTAGAGAGAGATGTAAAAAGAGGGGAATGTAATGACAGAAAATGGAAAACAGGATCACTCACAGAAACTGCAGCTTTATCTGGGTACAAAGTTCCTTTTCACATCCTGTACTGAATTGTTGGGTTTTTATGGCCCTCACTTATTAATTCGGAATTGCCACCTACCAAATTTGGAGATGTTTTCTGGGAAAGTCAATCATCCCAAAAATTCAAAGATATGCTCTTACATGTTCCCCAAATGTTATGTGAGTGGGCATAGATTTTATCAGCCTATTCTATGAGGAGAGAGGGATACCAATGCATCATTAACACTAGCTATCTGAATTTTGTTTTGGGACTGGTATATGGAAGTTGGAAACAATACACTTCTTGGTTAGGTCATCACCAAGGCTAATGTTGAGGCTCACCTTTCCTGAAAGGGGAGAAGATCTGTTTTGCTGTTCCACTTTCTGAGACTGAAGGCATTGTTTACATGAATGGTGTACAGATGATGGGCCACTAATGAATGGACTATGGAATGTGATAAATATCTGTAGGTGTACATGCATGAGAGATATACATTATCAAAATCTGATGAGATAATGTTTAGCTTTCAGTGTGGCCTTCCTATTCCTACTGCTGTCACTACAAAGCTGCTCCATTAACACTCAGTTGAACTGGCTGCTTGATCTATCCTGCTATGGATGTGTTTGATTTAGATGGTGCTTGGTCCTGTCTGATGACCTCTCGAGGTCCCTTCCAGTTCTAGTATTTTATGAATCTATAATTATTTTCCATCTTGCACGGAGAGGTCATTTAGGCTATGTCTACACTGCACATTTACTTTGAAATAAGAGAGTGCACGTCTACACAGCAAGCCTGTTATTTTGAAATAATATCAAAATAACAGGCTTCTTACTCTTCGTGAGATGAGAGTTACAGAAGTAGGAGTAAGAGGAAAACTCTGCCAAAAGCTGAGTTGAAGTGGTTTAACTTAAGCTACAAAATTAACGTACCTGAATTTGCGTATCTTAACTTGACTTTAGCCCACAATGTAGATGTACCTTTAATGTTTTACCACAAGGTGGGTATTAAACGGATGTATAAAACATAATGTTTAAAGTGTACGTTAAGAGAACTGTTTAGGACTCTGTAACAACAAAATAGGAAGGTATTATGGTTGCATTTCTTAACAGAGATTTGCTTTTGAGAAGATGGAATGGACCAAACATTATGCTTGCCAGAAAATGTTGTCACTGTTGACTCACTATGACATGATCAAAAGAAAATCGGGCCAGATAGATACAGAGCAACTGCAAGCAATACGGTAACGTAATTTTTGAAGTCTTTGAATTCACTCCATTTTTTGTTCATTTTTGACACTGGAGGAAATATTATTGAAGTAAAATATACTTCCCACTTTTGCCTTCATGCTTAAGCTATGTACTGCTTCTAGAAAATGGTAAAAGCTTAAATCAGTGTTGCATTTTTCTGTCATTTTTCTGTAATAGCAGCTACACAAAGGTAATGTGTGCAAAAGTTTCCTTTAATGCTAGTTTACAGGGCATGATTCTTCACATCCTCACTTTTAGCCATAATCCTATCCACATAAGTGGGGCATGTTATGGGCATGAGTTTTTGTTCATTGAGGTTGACACACAACCAGGCCTCTGGCCTATACATTTTAGTTGACAGCTGGGGAGCTGATGATCTACTGGCTTCTTTCTTGTTAGGGCTAACAGTGAATGGTCTCCTTGGTGCTGAATTCTACTGTACTTTCTTGTCTAGACTTGAATATCATTGTCTAACCTTGTTAAAGGTTCAGATCAGTATTATCATCAAATTCTATTACCAATTCAGCAAAAAAGGAGATACAGAAGACTATGGGACTGCTTACAGCATGTGAAATAGCACATGTGGGAAGGTGAGCCTTTATAGGATCAGTGGTTTTAATTTAGAATTCTGTTTTTCAAAGAAATATTGAAAATATGGCCTGGGTGGTATGTAGGAGTGATAGCAGAAGGTAGAATCTTTTACTTCTATGTTGTTTCAAATCCACTGCCAGTAGCAAAATAAAATTATTGCCTGGTGGCTGCTCAGTTGCAACCACCAATATAACGAAAAAAATCAGCAGTGTGCACATGCGCGCACACAGCAATGCCTAACTAAACTACACAGTACATCTCTGACTCAAAGCTCTCTTGTTTGATCAAAGATACAAAAGAAGTGAATGAACCCATACAAATACTGGTTACCATGCCTGCATCTCAGGTCATAGGGCAGTAGGAGAAGTTTTCAATATCATTGATTTTTGTATCTCTTGTGAGAAGGGAACCTCACTCCCCAGTTATGCTCATCTGGTGCCTTTTCATGACCTGTATGTTCATTAATGGTCTGTTTACATAGTCAAAGACAAGAACAGAGGTTTATTATTTACCTGCAAGAAAAAGTGGCAATCTTAAAAACAAATCATTCTGGTTTTTAGAATCTGTACTACATTAGCGGAATAGGACTTTTTCCTCTAATTTGCATGGATTACAAATTTATCATTTTGGAATAGGTTTGTGATATTTTCATATTTCTTGCTTTAGGAAAATGACTTAGTGAAGTTGTTACCATGTCTGTTTTTGTTTCACAGGATAAGCAGGACTCGTGTTAAAAATGGAATTCCTTGTTTTGAAATTGAATGGCAAAAGCCAGGTTGGTGTTTTCTTATACACGTATGGGTTATTCTGACACAACTCTCCTTTAAAGGAAATGTGCAGCCAGCAGCATGCACAAGTGACCTCTAGTACTGATTGGACAACTGTTCTATGAACAGATACAGAAAACACACATTTTTTTAAATCACCTGATATTGGCCATTGTCAAAAGTAGAGATGATGAAAAGTGTTGGTTTTGGATTGTTTGTTTGTTTGTTGTAAATGTGTAACTGCTGAAACAGAGACAGCAGTTGGGGGGAGGAGAGTGAGAGCCAGTGCTCATGAGAAGCCAATTATTAAGCTGGCTCTCCACAAACACCGGCTCCTGTGGAGCTGCCTAACCCATCTCACACTGCTGCAGCCCCTCAGCAAGGCAGGTGATTCCACAGAAGCTCGTACCCACAGGAAGCCAGCTCCCCAAGAGCACCAGTTCCCACGTGCTACGCCCTGCTGCCTCTGATACAGAGGCAGCGTGGGGAGGGTAGAGGAGGAGGCAGCTTACGTGTAACCATGAAGGCTAACCAATGAGCTCAGGCTCATTGGTTGACCATTGAAACATACACACTGTCACATCTCTAGGCAAAAGATGGGATATTGGGCTAGGTGGACCTTTGGTCTGACCGAATATGGCCATTACGTTCTTAAACAGATTGAAAATGCATACATTGTACCCTTAGGGGAATTTTGTGTTTGGTAATCTTCAGGTGTGTCAGACAAGCACTCGGTGCACATTTGGAGGAGGGCAAAGATGTTCATTACAATGACTAGGGATCACAACTACACATTAGACTTAAGTTTTATTTCTTTTTGGCCCCAGCATATCCCCTATTCCAAGCTGGCACGACATTATGTGAAAAAATCCCCCATGATGAGGGGATCTCAAGTGCCTGCAAGAGTTTGGTGCAAAGAGGTCTTGATGTGACCAGGGTGTGGCCTCTAATCTTCTGATACTGACATTAATATTTGAAAATTTCTTAAGGGCAAGGGAACTGCATTGTTCCTACTCTGATCTTTTCCCTTCCTTCATGTCCTCGGCCCTAATGTGACTCTGTTAATTTTCTAGAGCATTATGTTACAGCAGATGATCAGTCCACAGAGTCCTTTGTGGTTACAGTAGAGGAAGAATCATTGTTTCAGGCTGCCTATCCTGACATTGTTGGCTTCTATAAGTTGGAAATTTTGGAGAAGAAACAGAGAAGTAAGTTGGAAACCATACCAATGCCTACCACTCTGTGGGCACTGACATAATACAAATAATATAGACTGCATCATTTCTTGTATAGCTGTGCATATATCCGATTCAGTGAAAGATTATGTCCCCATTAAGATCCCATTTCTTCTCACCCTGCTCCTTTTCATCTCTGCTAGCACTATACATTCTTAACAACTGAAATTACTTTGACAACAACAAAAACCTATTATGCTATATGGTCTCTGTTTTTTTAGGTAAGAAAAATAAACCAAAAGAAAAAGAATATTCAGATATCAACAGTGAAGTTGCTGATCTCCTGTCTCTGATGAATTTGCAATCTACCTGCGAAAGCTTTCCTGAACAGGATTCCAAGTCTGATTTTAAAACTCTCCCTGATAGTCAAATGAAACAAAAAAATATTTCCAAATCTAATGATTCACTTTTAGCTGCAGATTTGTCCACTGTAATTGTTCAATTACAAAACCCAGCACCTACCCTTCCACTACCTGCTTCAATCAGTACTCAATATCAGAGTGTTTTAGATGACTCTCATATTTCATCAGCACAATTTACTGAACTCTCTGAGGCATCATCTTCCTATACTTCCTCTATGATAGCTGATCTACAATTGAGTGGTATTGACTGGGAAGGAACCTCTTTCAGCATTGTACCAGAACATGTTGATTCTGCCTGTTGTTCAGTGTCTAAACATGGTACATCTAATAGTGGTGTAAGCCAACCATGTACGCTTCAGCACAAAACAAGGGAAAATTCAAACTATTCTGGTGCTACACAGTCTGATGAAGATCCTTGCAGTAGTGCAGAGTATTTGGTTTCAAACTCTACTGACCTCGTAGGACAGTTTCAGAAGTTGCCTTTAAGAGAACGGATCCTTCTGAAGACATCCGTGCATAAAGATACTTCACTGTCTCTAAATGTAGTGCAAATGAAACCTTTACAGTTGTTGAAACAAATGAAAAAAACATCAATTCCTGGGACTGTTTCCATTTATCCTTCAGTTCAATTAAGTGACAACCCAAAGGAAATCAAAATGTTATCAGAAAATTATTTGAAGGACTGTAGTGTACAAAATTATGAGGAACTATACCAAAAACCTGGAAACCTGTTACAAATGGAGCAAAAACACCCCAAACAAAGCTGTTCAAACTCTGTGGATTTGAGCAGTGAAGCAGAAGAGCCTTTGCACTCTGAAGGTGAATCACGGACATTAGCAAAGATCACAGATGACTGTCAAGTTAGAAAATTCTGTAGTCAAGTTTCTTGGAAAACTTCCATTAAAAAGAGTGTGTGCTATGAGAGACATTCTTCTAGTGAGGACAGTGATGATGGGTATGTGAAGGATAAAAATCCGACATATAGAATTAGACAGCAGGGGCAACCAAATCCAGCTCAGATGAAAGACAACGCTACCAAGGAGAAGAGTAACAAAGGATCAAATCTTTCAATTAAATGGAAAGAGAGAGCCGCAAATTTAAAAATAACTAGCAATTATTTGTCAACAGAAATATCTCCAAAACATACCGCTGTAGTAGAAGCTAATAGTTTTCTAAACCCAGTAATATCTTTTAAAGGATTAGATTCCTGTTCTTCTCTGCAGCAAAGCAAAAATGATGACTGTGATGTGAGGGGAGATAGTCCCCTGCCTCTGTCTGAAAGGCTCAAACTAAAGTCAAAAGCAATTAGGAGTTCATTACAAATACATTAATATATATATTTTCTAAAAATACAGATGTCTATAAAATACATTATTATATAAACATTTCACTTAGCGTCATTAGTTTCTACATAGTTCCTCTCCTCAGTTTTATAACATTGGTATATGCAAACCCAAGAGACACTGTTGCTAAATTGACATAATCGTAGTTAATAAAAAGCATTGTGAATCTTGCTTACTTGGTACTGAAATTTGAAATGTAAACATTGTCAAAATTATGCAGTCCTTGGAGTGCCTCTGACATGCACTGAAATCCATTTATAATTGTATAGTGTTTTCTTAACGCAAGTACCATAGTCAGGAATATAACATACCACATTGATATTGTATTCCAGAAAAAGATATATTTTTTTAACAAAGCACTAGCATTTTGGATTATTAAGATGGACTTCATAATATAGTTACAATGTGCTATGCTGCTTTCAGATGTTCTCAGGAAGACAAACTGATTCAGCTTTGTATAATTGAAATTTCCCATTGTGTTTGAGTGTTAACTTAAATAGGCTTACAAATATTAGGTTGCCAGTGGTGTTGGTCATATATTTTAAATAAATGACCAGCTAAATTCAGGAGATGAGGTTGTCTAGTGTAGTTAGGTTGATTTTTTTTGACATGGCCTATAATAAACTACTAGAACTCATGCATGGTCCAGAAAAGGGCATTAGTAACCACTTAAGTTAGTGCCAATTGAATGAACTCAAAGTGAGCATTTTAGGCTTATTTTATTCCTGTAATTGTTGTCTCTAAACTTTTATATAAATATAATTATGTTCAATTAATACTTGTAGCTGGTGGAATTTTTTTGCTACAGAACCCAAACAATGAGATCTCTGCAAGATTTGTCGTTTTTTTGGGCGATTGCAGAGAAGAGGTTAATTTTGCTGTTGCAACTTCATTTATAAGTATCATGTATCATTGTTTGTATTGAAATTAGACTTTTAAAAAAGGCAACACAATAGTTCCCACCCATTAATGCAGAGTCCCAGTTCACTGGGACTACATATTCCAGAATGCATATGTCTTTCCTCAGATCACCACTAAGTTCCTCAATAGTTGTTGGTCAGCAGTTCTCAAGCTGGAAGCTGAGACCCCTCAACATGAGCTGACAGACCTAAGCCCCTTTTAAATTAAATTAAATGTTTAATGTCAAAGTTGGAGGGTCCTACTCAAGACTTTATTTGTGAAGAAGGTCACCTATATCACCAAAACAAGAAGTTTGGGAATCACTGCTGTAGGTGAAATGATGCATGACTTCATTGTAGCTAGCAGCCAATGAAGAAGGCTTTTTGATCAAGAAGCAGTAATGTTCAGTATATGGAATATGTACAAATTAGTGAAAAGGGCAACCTATAATCTCAATTAATCATTCCCCTTCCCTCTTGCTAAGCAGCTCCCTTCAGCATGTTTCCCAGTAAAGAGAAGAAATGGCTCCTTTAAGGTAACTTCCCAGTAGTTCCTCTTCTGTAAAATGGGACAAATAGTATTTCCTTACCTTACAAGGGTTTGTGAAGATAAACTAATTGGTGTGGGATGTTTAGATATTACAGTAATGGAGGTGATAAATACATAAAATAGAACAGAAAAGATAAACATTGAAATAGAAAACTTAAGATCGGTACCTTTTTAGGAGAGTCAAACAAAGTTTGATTAAAACTCCCGATGATGATAGCAGTTATGCAGTTACAATTAATGAATGAAGCAAAAGAATCATTAACCAACATATGAAAAGGTGATAATAAAAATCATGAAATGCTTCATAATTACTTACTAGAAAAGGTGAGTAGGAATCAATGGTTGACTAGAACAGAGCTACTTCATTTTGAGAGACCAATGTTGTAGGTAGCTACCAATTTCTTTGTGTGGTTTTTGTCTTTTTTACTTGGTCATGATTTTATCTTTTGAAATTATTTTTTTCTAAAACTGCCCATTGTTTTCAGAGACAGTGTTGGAAAAAGAACTGTACTTTATCTAACTAGAAAAACAAAACTGCAGTGCTTACTGTTTTGCTCTGATGGAATAAGATTTGGAATTTTTTAGCATTTAAAACAAGTGTGTCTTCCATTTTGTGATCGTTTTTCTATTTTTTCCATCTTGAAATATCAGGCCGGATTATTATTAGACATTAGAGGTTTTCTCAGAAAAGATTCCACTTTAGTCACAAATTTTACTTGTCTTATGTAACTGAATAGATGGATGATACCTCTAGGTTGGCTATTAGGAAAATCTTAGTCACTGTGAGGGTGGTGAAGCATTGCAATGGGTTGTCTAGAGAGGTGGTAGAATCTTCATCTAGGGATGTAAAGGGTTAATTGGTTAACCGATAAGCATTCCCCTTACTAGCATGCTTAACAGGATAACTGGCTAACCAGCAGCCCCCAGCCTGTGGCATGGTGCGGCAGGTCCTACCCAGCCTGGCCTTAGCAGCCCGGTTAATTTTTTTTAAATGGGATTTTACATCCCACCTCCATCCTTAGAGGTTTTTAAAACCAGGCTTGACAAGTCCCTGGCTGGAATGATTTGGTTGGGGTTGGTTCTGCTTTGAGCAGGGGATTAGACTAGATGACTTCCTGAGGTCTCTTCCAGCTCTAACCTATGAGTCTATGATACATTGTAAGTATTGTCAGAATTATTAAACCTACTCTTCCTTGGATGCTGGAGGTCAGATATGAAAAGTATATCTGTTAAAGATTCCAGCATTGCTAGGAATCAGTATGTTCTTAGAATCCCTGTAAGAACCACATTCAGTCCTACAATTCAGGTCCAGGTATGTGTAACAGGAAATAGATAATTTTTAAAGCCGGACTCTTCTCTACTTTTCACAAGGTTTGCACCTGCGTAACTCCAGTATTAGGGCATCTTTGGTGAAAACATAGACCATTGTGAGAGGAAAATAGTTCTATGATAGTTTAGCTCATCACTGCTATGAGTTGGCACAGATCATATATTCTTGTGCTGGTGCATATCTTAAGTAAAGCTTACTGCATCTTTCCAATGAAGAGACTCACCTATTTTAGAAATGTTACTTTTCTGTTTTGTCATCTTGTGCTTTAAATATGCTGTATCTAATTAGGAGACTTGGGACAGTAAATCTTTTGTCTCATTGAATAATGATTTGGTAGTGCTAGATTTTAAAGATATATAGATGTACAAAAATGTTGTCACATAAAAGTATCTAATTGTACCTGTTGTGTTTAAGACCACCATACGTGTTTACCTGTATTGTGCTAGTTTTTTTCAAAAAGTTCATTACCTACAAAGTGTTGTGGATAAAAGCAATTAAGAGTTTGAAAATGTAATTGATTATATATTGCTAAATATAATCTGTGGCAAAACAGTCTCTTCATGATTTGAACTTAATGTGGCTCCTTTTTCTAGATTTTTTTTATTTTTGTGGAAAATGTGTTAAAGTAGCGAAGAGACGTTTACACTCTTTTCTGTACAGTGCAACTTCCAAGAGGGGAGAAAGTCAGAGGGTTATACAGCTGTATTTAATAATTTATGCTACAGCGTTGTTCCCATGTTTGTACTTGCTCACTCTCTGGCTCAGCGATTCTCTTTATTTATCCATAGTGGTATTGCTTCAACAAGAAGAACTGAGGTAGTCCCACATAGAATAATACCCATTAGCTAGACTTGGCAGAAACTGATTTTTGTAAATAAATTTGAAAGATAATGTTGACGTTTATTTTCAACCTTTTTTTTTCTTATTTAAATTTAAAATTTGAATTTTTCAGTTTGTTAAACTTCAGGGAGCTCCAAGTATGGCTGCAGCATTGGGATGTTGGATCCCTTCAGATGCAATGTGTGGGGAAGGCTGCACTTGCCAGCAGCAATCAGTGGATGATTTTTTTCCCCTTGATTTCACCTTACACAAAGAAATCAATGTCTACCAAGGACTAATAATTTAAATTCTGCCAAGCCTATCCAAGCCCAATGGCTAGAGCAATTCACCTGCAAGGTGGTGGATCCCTGTGCAAATCCCTTCTTATCAACTGAGGAGTCTCCCGCATTATAGGCAAGTACACTAACCACAGGGCTAAAAGTTATGAGGGAGCTCCTCCTCCCATAAGGTCTGCTTTGTGTTAACTTGCCTGAGGGTCTCTATGTTAGACAGGTCTGAGCACACCTATCGAATCTGGCCCCACACATCAGTTAGGTGTGTGAACACCTATCTTCCCCAGTTTGTGAATTTCTTTGGGGCTTAGACAGGAAATAGGTATCCATCTCCTAGAGCAGCGGTTCCCAATCTTTTCCAGATGGGGAACCATTTTGACAATTCAGGAAGACTTGGTGACCCAGAGCAATTTAAAAAAAATGTGTGAATGGCTTCTTAAGAGCCACATGGGGAGACATCTGTCTACCCTTTTGAAATGTAATGGTGACCCATATTTGGGTCCGGACCCATAGGTTGGGAAACCTTATGCTAGAGAGTGAAGCAGCAGTGCCTGGGCCCAGAGGCAGAAATGTAGATAATAAGGAATGTTTTTATTGCAAAATCTTCGGTACCAAGTGAGTTTAAGAACCTACAGGGTTTGGCAGAAGTTTGTGAAACATGGTAGAGTCTAAACCTGAGACTTAGCCACTTCAGTATTACTAGTCTAGGCTTAAGTGTACTTGTGCTAAAGAGCTTTGCCTGGTTGGGGCCTATTTCTGTGTTAAAAACAAAATAAGGGGTGGAAACTGGGCCCTTTTTCTAGAGGGAAGGGAGAAAACTGAAAGTGCTTCTGAATTGTTAGAGGGAAGCATTAATTGTGCTGTGTGCTCCTGTCAGCCCCAGTGTGATGTCCAGTGACAGGGGAGGTATCACAAGAGGATTACCTGTTGTGTTTCCTCTCTTTGGGGCATCTGGTATTGGCCACTGTCAGCAGACAAGATATTGGGCTGGATGGACTGTTGGTCTGACCCTAAGTTCTTATGTCCAGATTCCACTTCAAATTTGGTCTTTTAGCAAGTGTAATGCTAGTGCACTTATTTTTTTAAATTCAGTGTAGTCACCTGAGCAGCTCTGTCTAGACTGCTAATGGAGGCATTTTTCTTAATTTTCTGGTGTTTTAATTTTCATATATAATTGGGCCCATTACACTCTCAGTTTATTTTCATAGTTCCTAAGCTGTCTGCTTTGCTATTCAAAATAGAAATAGACAATGAAAACACAAACCACCTGCAAACTAACAAAGGGAAGCAAAAGAGCTTCTTGATTATTTTTTTTTACTCTGTTTTCAGCACTTAGTCTTCATCTTATGAAGAAAAACACTACACCACACAAAAAGTACTGCACTTCCATCATTTCTCTAACAGACTTGCTCTTTGCAACCACCCTTCTACACCTTAAGAATATCTTAAAATAAACCATCAACACCAAGTAATATGAAGTGCAGCAAATTTCATCTGCAGAAATACCGTAAATTAGCGTATATAACCTGCAGGTTATACACGTTTTTACAAACCCCATCCCCACCTGTGGGATATAAATGTCTGCAGGGTATACACGTTTATTTTTACTCACAAGCCTGCACTGCACTCTCTATTACCCCGCCAAGAGGAGGGTGAGTTGCGCCTGGCTGTGGCTGCGCGACTCCTGGGGGCAACTGCGGCTCCCCTCCCACAAGCCGGCCAGCACGCTTGCGCTGTGCTCTCCATTACCCCCAGCAGCTGGTATGTGCAATCACCGTGAATTAGCATACAGAACCCGCGGGTTATACTCGTCTGTGGGTTATCCAAGACTTTTTCTACACAAATCAGGAAAAGCCGCAGGTTATACACGAGTGCGGGTTATATATGCTAATTCACGGTAATTCCTACAGGGTTACATTTCTTTAGCAGCACATATAAGCAAATGAGATGAATCAGCTAGATAATCAAAATGAAAAGCCATTCAAGATGATCTACTTATGGTAGTACAGTATGTGTCAAACCAACATGGAAATGGTACAAGCAAACACACTGTGGCCTTCATTAGTGATACCTTGCCATCTCCAAGGAAACTACTCCGACTGACACAGAGACCACTAACATGAGAGAAGGCAGCAACAAATTACAACAAATTAATTACTGTGCGTGTGCGTGTGTGTGTGTGTGTGTGTGTGTGTGTATGTGTGTGTATATATATATATATATATATAAAAGATTGTCCATTCAGTTACCAGGTCTTGGCCCCAGGATCAGCATTCAACTTTTTTCCTCACTTCGGGGTGTCCCCAAATGCTAGGACTGGGCCATCATTTCTAGCTAGAATCCAGGAATTACTAAATTTGACCACATTGTATTTAAGATACAAAGGAATATAAATGGTGCTCTATCACTCACAAGTAGGCTAACAAATGTGTGTCTATGAAAATTAAATTTGTTTAAAATCATGTTGCTTAACTAACTTTCTATTTGTGATTTAAACCAAAATAGATGGACTAAAATCCATCAATCTGATCTAAATTGTAAGTAACTATTTTTACTGGATAAAATTTTCAAAAGTACTCAAGTCCCCTTTTCAAATGTAATTTTTGACATTTAGGAGCCTACGTTTGCCACACCCAATTTCCTAAAATCTTATTTGAAAAGAGAACTTGTGCTAAATAATTCAGGCCCTTTTAAAAATTTTACCCACTTTCTTAATTGTAATGAATAAATTTAAAAGGTGAGCTGTTGATAAACTGAATTTCTCATGTGTGCAGAGTATCTGAACCTGAGAGCTGGGTGAACAGTAGTATGTACTGCTTCTGTCACACATTTTAGCAGTTTTAAAAAGCACAAAATACTTTGTTTCCTGAAGGAGAGAGTGCTAAATCCACCACTACTTTTACTAGTCTGTCAGTAGCACTTAGGCTCAACAAGCTCCAGTAATATTACTAACTGCAGTTTCCTTTTATCTACTGATGTAATATAGTGGGATTTAACACCTTCTTTGACATGACAAGATCTTATCTTGTCTCACATAACAGCTCCCATTAATCTTTCTCACCATGAGATTTTCTCTGTCTCATCCTAACAGCAGTAGCCTAAAGCCAGCCTTTGCAAATTCTCAGGGCTTGATTCAATAATCCCCTACTCAGTAATAAAGAACAGTCCTGTGGTACTTTAGAGAGTAACATATATTATCTAAGGTGCCACAGGACTGCTCATTGTTTTTAAAGTTACAGACTAATACAGCTACCCCTCAGAGACTACTCAGATTAGGAATCTTTTACTGATAATAGTTTCAAAGGGGAATTTGTGATGAGTTCATCTTTTCATCCCATTGCTAGGATCAGAATATATATATTTAATGTTTTTATCTGCCAATAGTGAAAGTCTGGCAAAGCAATTAAGGGTTGTTTTTGGGAAGGGGACATTTTACATAGCCCATGTTTCCCCCTGAAGCTTCATTATTTAGCTGAGCTTCTGAAAGGCACCCATGGTAACAGTAATTTTTATTTTCAACTGTAGAACCTCCAGTTTGGTCAATAATTTTGCAGGAACAACTGAAGCCAATGAGAGAGCTGCCTTTACTGGGAGATGGTGGGGCCCTATGAATGCAACACCAGCTCAGGCTTAAGCTCAAAACTGAAAAAGTGTAGAATTTGGTCAGTACTTGGGTGAAAAATCTTCAGGGAAAACACCATTGCTTCCAGAAAATTCTGTAGGTGATCTTTTCCCGGAGAGTCATTACTGATACAATTCCTTAACATGGTATAAGGGGCACCATGCTATTGGAGTTCAAGTACAGTTCTTTCAGAGGAACTGTAAGGTGAAGGAGTGATAATATATGGTCATTAAAGATTCCACGGCACTCTGGATATAGACGTGCTAACTCTAGCATCCAGGCTATATTTCAGTTCAGCCTCTCAAATCTGGGACTCTCTGGCAACATCCGTGGTATGGTAAGACCATGGATGTTGCTGGACCAAAGAGCCCTGGCACAAGGCCAGCAGCTGCTGAGAAGCCCGTCTTGGGATCCCCTGCTGCTGGGGGCCAGTGGTGGGTGGGGATCCTTGGGGCTGATTTGCTTGGAGTAGTCCATCCAGTCTGCCTACCTGGTGCCACAGAGGACAGTTTGTTCCCTGTTCTGCCTAATCTCATGCCTAGCCATACATCCAAAACCCTGTGGAGCTCTAGCAAGGGGGCACCAGTAAAGTCCTAGGATGGGGAAGGTTGTAATATTGGGGCTATAAATTTACCCTAATTGTTAGCTCAACTGTAAAAAGTATGCAAGTTGATAAGATACCACAGTAAACTATGATAAAAATGTTATGGGAAAAGATGCTAAAGAGAGCCTGAATTGTTCCAAACTGAAAGGCCTACTGATGTAACCCGAGGATTATTTTAGGGTCATTCTTGATAAATAACAAAAATGTAGAACCAGACATGAGTGAACTAAAATTGGTGTAGCAGAAACGAGGCCTAATTAGTTGACAAAATAATGAGGGGATGGGCTATTCTCACTGTCCTCTTTCTGGGTCCTTACATATTTTTGAGAAATGTTGGCTACTACAGTGAGCTTTGGTATCATAGCCGCAACCCTCACCCTCTCTTAGGACCTTCTTCATTACGATCCTGAGAGATGTTCAGGCCAGAGAGAGGAACAACATTGTCACCTCTGCCAGCTCCAGCTAAATCCCCAATAACACTTGGGATGAGATGGGGACTGAACCTTACCAACAGCAGCAGTGACCACTCCAGTATAGCCTCTTTTCCCCAACAGGATAG